AATCATCACACAAATAGGTGTGAAAATCTCCATTGAGTATATCCAAAATTTCTTCATTTAATTTATGAACGTGGTCATTTTTTGGACAAAGAATCGCATGTTTAGATATATTATCTATAGATGTACTATTTCCAAAGGTAGCTTTAACAATAGATCTGTTACAAATCATTTCACAGCAGATTTCAATAATATCCATCCAAGAGCTTTATATGTATTGTGCATACGTAAGTCAACATTTATTTTTAAACTAGAGGCCCGGTGCATGAAATTCATGTGGGGTGTGTGTGTGTGTGTGTGTGTGTGTGTGTCCGCCCCTCAGTCCAGCTTACACCCTCTCCAATCTGGGACCCCTCAAGGGATGTCGGACTGCCCTCTCACAATCCAGGACTGCTGGCTGCCAACTGCTCGCCTGCCTGCCTGCCTTATTGGCCCTAACCACTCCCCTGCCAGCCTGATTGACGCTTAACTGCTCCCCTGCCGGCCCTATTGCCCCTAATTGCCCTCCTTTGCCGGCCCGGTCACCCCTAACTGTCCTCCCTTGCAGGACATCTTGTGTCCACATGGGGGTGGCCATCTTGTGTGTTGGAGTGATAGTCAATTTGCATATTATTCTTTTATTACATAGGATTGCCAGTGCGTGTCATATATATTGGCCGGCTGGTCGGTCAGACAGTCAATCATTTAGCCTTTTATATATATAGATATGAAAAGTGAGAGATAAAACCTACCCGGCAGGAAAGATTTAAGGATTAGAGATAATGTTTAGACTAGTGCTAGGTAAAAAGAAGGTACTCAATACACAGCAAGGATGATTAGAAAACATGAAGACCAGTGTCAAGTTCTGATTTTGCCATTTAACTAGCCATGTGAATATGCCCAAGTTAATATTAACATTTGTTTTCCATGGGAAAATAGGTTTACTATCAACAATATTAATCCATCTAATGTCAGAGATGTTACATGGAATGATCCAAAACTTAGCAGTTATAAAAACACCAAATACAATGTAAGATGGTATTTTTGTTGGAGGCTGGGTACCACTGAGATGTTTATCAATGCTGAGTTTTTGGGTAGAAGAAGATATGGTCAAATGCTCCTGATTATCATCACTGAGAAAAATGAGCTGAATATAGATCTTTCAGATGCATATAGTACAGCAATCCTGATCATTCCAAGCAGGTTGACCAAGGAAAACCACATTTCTTTTATATATATATATATATTTAAATATATTTT